CCGAGGTGGGTAAAATGAGGACCCAGATTGTTGGGGGCAATATGCTGACTCTCTGTAAACCGCTTAGAGAGGCCTGAAAGGCCTATGAAGCGGTATATATAAGTCTACTGCTATTGCTACCATTCAGTGAATTTCATGAACCAATGAACAATTTCATGAACCAAACTGATTCATGAAATTGTATTGGCCGGAGCCACTAAATTTTCCTCTTCACCAAATTATTTTTGTATATCATTAATTAAAAATATATAAATAAATGGGAAGCAGGGCTAATGTAAGAGTTTGCCATGTATGCAGCTGTATTGGAGCTCTACACAGAGCTAGTGATCTGAGGATGAGAACACAAAGAGGTGCCTGACTACTTTGTCCCACTCCTGAGAACATGCCTTGTGTTTGCCTCAGTTTGGGAAGGTTGGGGTGGTGAGCCCCCCCTCCCCCCCCCAGTTAGCTAACAGCACATCATGTTAGCCAATATGTAGACTGAGCCAGTGGGGTTTTTAATCAGGCCATGTATGTACTGGCTAATTCATCTCCATGTTAGCCAGCAGTAGATTAGACTAAAGGGATTTTCAGGAGGGGTTGGTTCACACATTGGCTAATCAAGCTCTTTGTTAGCCAAAATGTGGGTTTGATTGACAGGATTTTTGTATAGGCTATTCTGCTCATTAGCTGATGCAGCTGTGTGTGCTAGCTAATAGGTTGATGGGACCAAAAATTTCATTCTTTGAAGTAAAAAAATATATAGTGGTTAGTGATGCAGTTGTGTTCTGAGATATTTTTTTTCAATGGAGAGGGGCTATTTCCAGTAATGAATCTCCTGCATCTCCTTGCTGTAAGAAATTACATGGTAGGTAGTTGCAGACCAATACTTTGTTTGCCATTCAGTATATGGGTGCCTCATGATCACCATACCCACGACTACATTAGTGTGGTGAGAGTGTCCATTTCAAATGCATTCATTGGCACCACAAAAGCTAAATAAGGAAGCACCTAGCTAAATGAGTAAAGCATATAACCTTGTGGAAACCAAATCTGATTCAGTCCTTAGCATCTCCAGGACAGTCAATCCTCTACCTCAGAGGTCTTCAAACTTGGCAACTTTAAGACTTGTGGACGTCAACTCCCAGAATTCTCCAGCCAACTCTGCTGGCTGGAGAATTCTAGGAGTTGAAATCCACAAGTCTTAAAGTTGCCAAGTTTTGAGACCCCTGATCTACCTGAACCTCTGAACAGCTACTGAGTGCTTAGTTAAGTGTTATTAAGTTAAGTTATTCTGGACTTTATTTAAGGTAGAAATCAGTGTGTGGAAATTCATTTATATGAAAAATCCTGTTCTCACTTTGCTTTAGTATTAGTTTATTGTTTATATTTTAGGCACATTTGCACATGGAATTATGTGAGCATATATACATTGTTTTGAAAAATAAATATTTTATATTCAGGAATTTTGAAGACTTTTTACATGAAAGCCTTGTTGAATATTTGGATGTGAATGAGGAAAATGATTGCAACATTGCACTCTATGAACATACAATCAATAAGTAAGTATTCTAGCATCATTAAAACCTAAGTTTTGTATTGTAACACTGAAATTAGAGCAAGAAGATATTTAATCTTCTTGGGAATATATTCTAAGAAAAAGATGAAATTTTGTGTGCAGAGATGTATACATTAAAAAAAGTTCCTTTCTTTATTAACATTGTCTTCAAGAACATTTATGTGACTCGGTAACATAATTAAAATAGTAAACTCCAAAATCTGATTTCCTCATTTGGTACTACAATTGTCGAACTCATCATTTGTTCAGTTCATTACCATTGGATCTAATTAATTTCCAAAGGTCTTTCAGAACAGCTGGGTTTTCACCTACTTCCAGAAAGCCATTGGCTTGGGGGGGGTGGCGTGGCTTTGTTTCACCCTCTGTAGTGGGGGGGGGGGGGGGGGGGATTCTTACTTCATAGGTCCAGCTTTTCAGTATGTAACCATGTGATTTTAACTTTTAAGAAATCTAGCTATATATTTTTTTTTCCTTTATTAGAGAGACAACACACTTGGAGATTGAACCTTTTACTCTTCTTGGAGTCTGTGCTGGTCTCATTCCATATCCCCATCATAACCAGTCTCCAAGAAACACTTACCAGTGCGCTATGGGAAAGCAAGCTATGGGTAAGACTTCCGCGCCTTCAGATCAGAAATCAGATTCATGCATCCCAGATTCAGTTTCCCTTAGCTTTGTTAAATATTTCTGATACCCTGATTTGAAAACATGTGCCTTCTCATATCCCCAATTTTTGGCACAACTTTCTATATGCCTTCCTATTTTAAAAAACAAAATTAGAAATGTACTCAGAGGTTAAGATAAAGAATTTATGAGAAATATTTTGTGATATGCTGTTTTCATTTATCAGCATTAAATTATCAAGATTGTTTTTAGGGTAATGTAGTTATAACTCCCTAGTCAGAAAACAGGAAATCCCCAATTCATCAGCGCTATTATTTCTTAAGTGACATTATTAAGCCTCATTTTTAAAACTGAATTCCAAAATTCATGACTAAGAAATCCACATCATAGCTCTGTTGTACATCGTGTGTGTGTGTGTGTGCGCGCGCACGCGCGGGTCTATCAGTGGTTCAGCCTCTTCCTAATACATATTTATTAATATTAATCTACATTAATAGATTGGACTCATAATTAGCATAGCAGGGGAAACTGTGTGTGTATATGTATATGTATACAGTATATAGTATAAGTGAACACACATATAACTAGTCATCTATTTTGATGCGTTTGATTGTTTTGCTTTGTTTTGTTTCAATTCAGCAATGATTTCCCTGCTCTTTGCCACTTTTAAATAAGCATTAAAGAGGGTCACTTTTATATATACATACATAGGTATATAAACACACACACACGTGTATGTTTATATACCTATGTATGTATATATACACGTGTGTGTATGTATGTGTGTATGTATGTATGTATGCATGTATATGTATATATACAGGTTAGGGATATGTATGTATGTATGTATGTATGTATGTATGGTGTCACAATCCCTGGTATGCCCAAATATAGAGGAAGCATACTGCTTCCTTTTCTGTCTATCGGCTCGTCACAAGAGACCATCATGACAGAAACCCATTATTTTTACTGTTGCCTTTGTTACATTTGTGTTGCATTTGTGCTGATAAATAAATAAAGGGAGACTAGTATAGATCTATTTCAAGCTATTTAGCTCTCATCAGCTAGCCATACCCTTACTGGGATTCGAACCTGGGCTGTATTACATATTAGGCAGTTATATTAGTCACTAGGCCACAGGCTCTCCTCCTTTATCAGCTAAGCCAGGGAAATAGGTATGTATTGTGTCACAACCCCTGGTATGCCCAAATATGGAGGAAGCATACTGCTTTATTTATCAGCACAAATGCAAGACAAATGCAAGGATGGCTTTCTGCCATCCAGGCAGAAAGCCATTTTTTTATGTTGCCTTTGTTACATTTGTGTTGCATTTGCCTTTATTTATTTATCAGCACAAATGCAACACACACACACATACATACATACAAACATACATATTGCTGTCCCCTACAGCCCACATACATAGCAACTAATATGGACATATACCTGTTAATATACATTACGACAGTGTAAAACATTTGAATTGGTGCTTTGTAAACCATTTTGCCAAAAACAAAGCATCTCCTTTTGAAGTTTTGAGGACACCCCGCTCTCTCCTGGAATGATCATGCAGGGCTTCGGAGTCTTTTCCCATGAGTCTTTTGTCTCTACGCACATGTGGGCGCATAACTGCTTGACATTGCCAGCAAAAGCATTGACTGGGCATGGGACCTCCGTACACAAGGCTTTTGGGGAATGCAACAGTCTCAGAATTAGATGACCAGTGCTTTACTTGTTTGAGTTTGTGTGTCTCAAATGCGTTGCACAACATTTATTCATACATTACACATTTGTGTAACACGTGGATTTCCAGTTCTTCACCATGGCAAGCAAATTGTTACGTACCATCTGTTATTTGCAAATTGCATGTTGCTGTGTAGCTTTAACTTGGCTTGTTCTTCATCTCCCAAAACAAATGCTTTATGAAGACATTTCACCAGTCCTTAAATAACACCTGCAGGATTTTGTTCTGCAGCAGTTGCAACTTTATGGCAGAGAACCTTCTCGCCACCATCCATTCATTTCAGTGAGGCTTTTCTCAGTGAACCTAAGTTGCCATTACAATTTGCTTAAAACATTAAGTGAGAAATTCAGTTAGGGTGTCATTCCTGGGGGGGGGGTCACATAAATTCAGGGAGTATAATATATAGCCAAATAATGCTGCTTCTCGGTTGATGGAAGAGGGGAAATAAAATTATCTTAGATCATCGTTTTTACATGGGCAAAACCCCTATGTAATACATTTTCTCTCCCTTCAGCACATTAGAAACGTTTCAAAAATATTTTACACACCATCCCTTTCTTTTAATTGCATCCTGTTTCTTTGTCATGCTTTCTTTTTTCCAGGAGAATCTATTTTAGGACTATTAGCCTCAGAAGGTTTGGTTGGTTACCACACACAGTTAAGCAGGATCAGTGTGTACAGAAAGCCAATTCAGAATCTGTAGAGTTCTTTTGTACTTTTCTGTGTGAAGGTCTTTTTTTCTCATTTTGTTTTCAGTGTCATTTGCAATTCATTGTCTGTGTTTTCTGAGGTTGGTGTATTCAGCTGCTTTGACCCAGGGTCTTGCACATTTAGCTCCTTGGATACAATCCTCTGACGTTGCTGCTGACGATGGGAATACAAAAGCTGCTGAATATCTTTAGTAATTATTGTTAAAGGCTTTGTTTCTGTGTGCTACTGCAAGCACCTGAGGAATGAGCAAGGAGATAAAAGTACAGTTTTAAAGCTGAGATGTAATGGACTATTTAAAAAACAACAACCATATACACATTAAACATCTAGTTTGTGCTGAATATTTGCTAATAGTGTCTAGACTGGGTTTTTTTCCCTTCTGTGCCCTGTAGTTGTGTGGGACTGTAGTTCCTACAATCACCAGCTGGCTATTGTAAAAAAAGTTATAAACCAAAGCACCATTTTTTAAAAAAAAATATACAGTTATAGACACAGCGCCTATAGGAAGCTCAATTCTTGTAATCCTAGATTGGCTATGAATTAACTTCAGGCACATCTGCACAGTTTACATTTGGTGCTGTAACTTATGAGTTGGCTATTTTGAATCTGTCTGGACAGTGATTCATCACATCAAAATACGTTAGTTCTTTTAAAGTGTCAGCCCTCCCTTATGGTTGTCTCTGGCTGTCCCTCCCCACCCGCTGCCACTAACAGTCTTTGTGTTGTCCTCTGGGAGATACATGTTCAAGTCCATTTAGTCACTTCCTGGGCTGTCAAGAATTCGGGATTATTGAGATAGTCTTTTGGCTCCCTGCCGAGAAGAAAGGACTTGTTACTCAGCATTGCCCCATTCTGATTATTTGAATACTTCCATTGCCTGAGAAATGCCTTCCTTGAGGCTTAGCAAAAATTAGGCAGATCGGTGGATCTTAAATAACACAGAACGTAACAGATGAACTGAAATTCTGATGATATATGTTGGAAGGTATACAATAGGTATAAATGGAAATAAATCATATTTGTAGATAGAATTTTGAAAAGTTAGACGATCACTTATTTTTTTTAATAGACTTTTCTTTCAAGAAGTCTATGGGCAGCTTATCTGAGTAATCAGATAGGTAGGATTGAGGCTGAAATAATTCTAATCATATTCCAGATACACAGGAATTATTTGCCTGTTTATACATCATGTCTATCAATTTATGGAGCCTCGAAAATTACTTCATGCTCAAGGCTGTAAGAAAGACTCTCAATATTGTGGTCATTATATTTTGTACGCTGGCTGGTACACTGAAGCAGTGGTTGTATTTGTAACTAGATTACTACAGATCTACTCCTCAAAAGCGTCTAGTAAAAAAGAAAACTATAATTGCAATCTAACTCTAGAATAACTCAAAGATGAATTCATTCTTGAAATAAAATTGTAGAAGCTCAAAACTGTTTGAGGTCTACACTGAGAACTTTCTACTATAATTTACATTCTATGTAAAAAGTGTGTGGGGAAAGTTGGGTATTGCACATTTTCACTTAGTTAGCTCTCAGCTAAAATGAACACCAAGGATGGCATAAAATATTTGCTGCTATTTCTGTTGATTTCTCCACATTTTTGTAGCTAATCAAGCATCTACCAAGTTTGCTTAAGAATATTTTTTTTTTCATTGCAGGTACCATTGGCTACAATCAAAGGAATAGGATTGATACCCTTATGTATCTGTTAGCTTATCCTCAAAGACCAATGGTTAAGACAAAAACAATAGAACTCATTGAGTTTGAAAAACTGCCGGCTGGACAGAATGCGACGGTTGCTGTGATGAGTTACAGTGGTTATGACATTGAGGATGCTCTGGTTTTAAACAAGGCTTCTTTAGACCGAGGTAGGAAGTCTCTATTTTTAATAGGATAGTTATGTCAGCTCAATACAAACAGTTCACGTCTATGAATAAAGGAAAACAATCACAATTTTGATGTTTAAATTGACAAACCATGATTCATTTTTGGGTGTATTTGTATACTACAGTATGTAAAAACTATGATTTGGTGTGATATCTAAATTGCTAAACTACACTTGGGATATTTGAAATAATAGATCACATTAGCTGAAATACCTCATCACAAAAAAAGAAGACTGAGCCGATGGAAAAAAGCAGATAGCTCAAAATCTGATTGTCTTTTATTTTTGTGGGCTCACTTTGTGAGTAGAGCTTGAAAACCTGTTTTTAACATAATAATGGATTATAGTTACATCTCAACTGAACTCTAATATAACACTTTTCAAGAATTAGAATGAGAAATTACTGCAGAAAATGCATCTTAAGGGGAGCTGCAAATTTACTACTGTAACTGAAATAAACTAACCATCTGACTTTTAAACAATTATATTTGGCTTAATTGTGCTTTACAAAATACTACTTTTTTCATTAATAATGAAAACCAGTAACATTTGAACTCTATAGACATTTCAGTGGCGATGAATACTGGGATCACAATTGAGCCCAAATTTTCTTCTGCTAAGTGAGATAGTTGTTAAGTGAGTTTTGCCCCATTTTACGATCTTTCTTGCCACAAGTGTTCACTGCAGTTGTTAAGTTGGTAACATGTTTGTTAATTGAATCTGGTTTCCCTGTTGACTTTGCTTGTCAGAAGGTCACAAGAGGGGATCACATGAACCCGGGGACACGGCAACAACAGTCATAAATTTGGGTCAGTTGCCAAGCATCTGAATTTTGATCATGTGACCTTGAGGATGCTACAATGGTCCTAAATGTGGGAAATGGTCAGAAACCACTTTTTTCCGTGGCATTGTTACTACAAACGGTCACTAAATGGACTGTTCTAAGTCGAGGGCGACCTGTATTCCTTGAATACCATCAGGATTTTTTTATAATATTCTGAGAAAAATTAGTTGGACCCCCCAAAAATTATTAGTATTAAATTGCCTAGCAAATAAATGTGGTTCATAATAAATTTGCTACCTGCTTTTAAGAAAGCAAAAATATTTGTGGTTTATCATTAGGCTGCAATGCCAATCAGGCACCTTCTCCATAGGGCCCATTAAATCTTTTTCAGGGAAAGCATATTCGGTGCTTTTCAAAGAGTATTCCTTGCATTCACTTCTAACAAACTTGTCTGGATGTTACGCTTTTTAGTGTTGCCTCATCAATCATATTTAAAACACAGTTCCTCTGCTTGAGGCATAATATTGTGGGTGCCTTGAGTTTACTTTGTGTGGTCAGACTGCTTGCATACTGCAGTACATTCTACTACACTCGCCCATCCTTAAGAGCCCTTTTGCCAGTTGCCAGGCAGCACTAGTAGTATTGCTGGACATGTATCTTTGGCATTAATGTCTGCACACTTAATTTATTCTTTTTTGCCTAAAACAATGGCAGACATGATTTAAAGCAAAATGTTTTCTTTCTGGTAGACTAGTAACATTAGGGGGGAAACCAAATACTCTCCAGAATTACGTCGTACTGCCAAACGATACAAATATACTATGCATAACTTCAACTGGAAAAAACACTTTCAGAGAATAAAGTTTATGAAGAAGCATTCTTCCAAATTTAGGAATTATTAAGCCAGTAAGGGATAATGAAAGAAATGCAGCGCATTTAAAGATTTTTGCAACCAAATTGTTTTAATTGTTAATAATTAATGTTTTGGGCTTTGATATTTTTACAAAATATCCCAGATCATTATTTAATTAAAGTATTGTCTTTTAAAACAAATGTGGGAATTAGACATCAGGTACATTTTATCGTTCTTTAAACCTGTTAAATTACATAAGATAGTACATTCTAAATTGTAAATGTTTTATTCTAAAGACTGCAAAGTTCTTTCAGAAATATACATGTAATTTAATTCTCCAATTATAACAAATTGTGTATTTAGCTCTTTTGAAATGTAGCTATAATGAAGTTTTAATTTTAATGAAAGATTATAAATATCTTGTGACACCTTGAAGTGTGTCAAATAATATTATGACATATTATTTCATTGTCATAAGCCACTGCATTTCTAACAATACATTTTGGTTCATGCCATATTAAAATTATTATGAAATAAGTGTACTTGAATAGCTTGAAAAAAGTCCATTGGACTGCAGCCATAGTTTCTAAATTGTCCACCATTTCAGCATATTGTGCATTGTTTCATAAACAGTTATCCAAGCAACTGTTTTCTGTACTATGGATTTGTATAGTATATTTAAAACATAATCTGATTCTCATTTTAGATAACCCTAATTGTAGTTTTGATTGATATATTTGTTTTCTTTGAGGCTTTGGAAGATGCCTTGTGTACAAAAATGCTAAGTGTACTCTCAAGCGTTACACAAATCAAACATTTGATAAAGTAATGGGGCCCATGCTGGATGCGGGAACACGTAAACCGATTTGGCGACATGAAATTTTAGATGCTGATGGTATTTGCTCTCCAGGTATACATTCTTTTCTTTCTTACAAGTATTATTAGTTTGAACCACTGTTTTTGTTCATTTGCTATTGTCATAGTCAATCCCAAATCTGTAGGCTTTGTCTCATAACATGAGGAGTAATAGTGACCCGATTCAGTGAAAGCTTTTTTGTTGTTGTTGTTCTTGGTGTTTAATTATGTACATTCATGGTATACAGTATACTGGATGGTTTAACAACCTCTCAAAAATCAGTCCCTCATTTTTCAGTGTTTTGCTGCCAAATTTTGGTGACATGATATTGGTTGACTCCAAGGAGCATAAATAAGGCACTTGGGTGAGGTCTAGGGTCTCAGGTTATAACACAGCCTCCCCCTCCCTTCACCATTTGAGATAATGAAAATAATTGAAACAGGCCATAAACATATTATTTCCTCATATACTTACAGGTGAGAAAGTGGAAAACAAGCAAGTGCTTGTGAATAAATCGATGCCCACAGTGACCCAAACCCCTCTGGAAGGGAGCAGCGCATCTCAGCAATCTCAGTATAAAGATGTGCCAGTAATGTATGACATGCTACCTTATTTTTTTTTCTGCTGAGTTCTGGAAAAGAAAATAGAAATTGGCCATGTCAGGCGTACCAGTTACTAAAAGGGCTCAAATGTTTCGTTTTCTTGGTAATGTCACATTATATATATTACCCTGTTTCCCTGAAAATAAGACCTCCCCAGATAATAAGCCCAATTGGGCTTTTGAGTGCATGTGCTAAAATAAGCCCTCCCCAAAAATATTGCAACACAGCAGCAGCCATCAGGTGACCACACTCGCCTCCTCCTGCACCTCAAAAATAATAAGACCTCCCCGAAAATCAGGCCAAGTGCTTATTTCAGGGGGCAAAAGAAAATAAGACCCTATCTTATTTTTGGGGAAACACAGTATAAGGAAGCTGGATTTCAGCTTGTTTCAGTATTTTTTAATATCCAAGTTCCTCATGGGTCCTTTTTGTTCGCTCTTAAACTATAAATGGGCAAAGAAACTTTTCTTCATTTACCATTCCTACTGTTACTGGTTTCCTATAGCTGTTTTGAAATTGCTTTCACTATTGAAACTTTGCATGAAGCCGTAAAATTTGCACTTGAAGTTAAAATTTGTAAACTGTTTTAAAGGTGTCTAGTATTAATTAAACTCAGCTGCCTTTTTTCTTGAATTAAACTATGTACATTTTCTGTTCATTAGTTACAAAGGTGCAACTGATTCGTACATTGAAAAGGTCATGATATCTTCCAATGCAGAAGATGCTTTTTTAATCAAAATATTACTAAGGCAAACTAGGCGCCCAGAAATTGGAGACAAGTTTAGCAGTCGTCATGGGCAAAAAGGTACATTTTATGACGTTTTAATGGTTTCAACTTAATCAAAACATATATCCAGTTGCACAACAGCGGAGCAAAGTAAAATAATATAATCATTATAAGTGCCTGGATTGGATTCAATTAGAATTTTAATCTTCTGCTTCTGGAAAGAGCAAATCTGGTTGCATAAATGCTGTTCTGGTTCTTTAGAAGTTTAAAACTGAATGGATGCTGCTCTAATGAAAAAAATGCAATACAATGCAAGTTATTATATTTTGAAATGAATGGGTAATAATGCAAATAAATTCACATGCAGTCATTAAAAATACTTGTGTCTTTTTCCTCTATCCACGATGGAGGCATGAGATACCACTAACAGGAACTGTAACTCCAATAGTTAATTACCGTATTTTTCAGAGTATAAAACGCACCAAGATTTTGAAGAGACAAATTTTTAGAAAAGGTCGGTAGATAGAGGGATAGACAGAGAGAAATAGAAAGAGAGAGAGAAATACAGTAGATAGGTAGGGAGAGAGAGAGTGTGTGTAGGTAGTTAGGTAGGTAGGTAAAGGGATAGAGAGAGAAATAGAAAGAGATAGAGAGAGAAATACAGTAGGGGGAAAAAATTTTACACTCTGCAAACCTCCCAAAAATGGCATGTTTTTTTGCAAAAAAGGGCCCATTTTTTAAAAAGGCATGAATAGCCTTGGGGGAGGGGGTGGCTTGCAGAGTGCTCCTGGGAGGAAAGGAGCAAAAACGAGCAATAAAACAGCATTTTTCGTGAAAATGGGCCCGTTTTTTCCTCAAAAAAAATTGCATGCATAACCTTATGGAGGCTTATAGAGTGCTGCTGGGGTGGGGGCAAAAAATGGCCCATTTTTCACTCATTTCTGCCCTCCCCAGCCCTCAGGAGCTCTCTGAAAGCCTCCATAAGGGTAAGCACGGTTATTTTGGTGAAGGGGGCAGAGTTTCAGGAGGCAAAAAATGCTGTATTCAATGTATAAGATGCACCCAGATTTTCATCCTCTTCTTTGAGGGGAAAAAGGTGCATCTTATATTCCGAAAAATACAATATGTGTATTTGAAAAAAAATGTGAAAAATGATCAATTTTTTAATTAGCTGATTTAACATTGACATTTTTTAAATCCATCCCAGCTTCTTTAAGATGTCTGTCCTTCCGTCTGTCTGTCTGTCCATCCATCCATCCATCCATTTATCTATCGAACTATGCTTTTCCTATTCATTGCAAATAGAAAGAACTCACAGTCATCATCTCTCAGTGTAGTTTAGTGCAATTGCAAAGATAAAATGCAATAAAATACTAATAATTAAATCAGAATAGGGGGCATAGATAGTGGGAAATAGGCAAATGGAGGATTTTGACATGCTCCTATGATTGTAAGTGCCTGAATTTTGATCATGTCACTGCAGGATGTGATACTATGACCATAATTTTAGACACAAGTTGTAAGTCTATTTTTTTTCAGCACCATCCTAACTTTAATTGGTTAGAAATAAATTGTCATACGTGAAGGACTCCCTATAAAGACCACTACTGAACAAGGATTGGTTTTTTTCCCCTATTGCTTTTAGATATCAGGTAGATAGATGCAAATAGTTGAAGGCAGATTGAGCAGTGATCCTATAAGTGCCTTATGAACTTTGGTTTGTGCATAAACATGTTCATGTATAATGAACCATCCACATACAATGAAACATGTGCAGCCAGAAATGGAGAAGTCTTCAGTGCTTTTCATAAAGAGATGGTTGACATGGTTTCCAGCTACTTTCAGGATCCTCAATATTTCACATATTATTTTCAGTGCAATTGAAATTGTATACTTGCATATCTTAATCATAGACTCATGGAAATATCATTGATGAGATATATCTAGTTTTAGGACTCATAGCTCTTGAGCAATAAGTTTCCACATCCCATCCTTTCAATTTACTTTTTTGGGTTCTTCCAACTTGGATATGTCAAAGTTGTTGACAAAGAATGTCAACAAAATATAAATCCCTGCCAATTAAATCAGTTGTCCTCATAAAATAACTAATCTTTCTTTTTCTATCAGAACTTAGAGGTTCTTTTAACTTCTTCCTTCCTGTGCTTTTTTAGTTGAATTTTAGTTTTTGTGTGTGGATAACAATCTCCACAATTCAGGAAGTGCTGTACATGAACTGGACACATGTTGAAATGTACCTCTAAAAGGAAACAGCAGCTAAATTCTGACTACAATTGTTAGAGTGCTTTGGGAAATATGTTTCCTATAGTTAGAAAGTTGGAACAATTTTACACTGGATAAGTCAAAATGTGTAAGTTCTAAATTTTGGAATTTAAGACTTATGCAATCTTTGACATTTCACAAGCTCATCCTATTAGTGTAACAAGTATTTTAGTGAATATTAATGTTCAGATTTATAAGTGACTTGAATGACTTAAATTTTCATTAGTGTTATCCAGATAATTTGAGAAAAGCAGAAGTAGCCTTTCCCAAGATGTCACCTTTCAGATCTGTTGACCATTGTTTCTCAACCTTGGCAATTTTAACTTTCAGAATTCCTGAGCCAGCACACATCTTAAAATTATTAAGATTGGGAAAACACTATAGATTCAAGATTTGTTAGATGATTTGGGACTGCAACTCCAGAAATCCCAGCCAGCATATCTAAAAGAGTTAACAACCCAACACATTCTGGAAAAATATTGGTATAGGAGAACAATTTGGTAGACATCATACTTTTTTTTTCAGTTCACCCAAATTTCAATCATTCTTAGTTTCAGACAAGACTGAGATATAATTTCAGGCTTTCATATTTCTTACATCTCTCTATATTTCCAGAGTTTCTTTTCCTTCTGCAGGAATCTCAGTGAAAGGGAAAAGTTAGAGTCCTTTGATGTGAAAAAGCAATCTATCACTTCTCTGAAAGACCGGTCTCAGTCTCTCATGTGAAAAAGGATTAACACTACTGACAAAGGTCGTGCAAATCACAGAACTAAACATTAGTGCTGAGCAGTATTCTTCAAGTGGAAGAACTGTATTTAAGCAATGAGGATAGAAATGGCAAACAGAACCTGTTTTAATAGCCAAAGATCTCAGATAAAGGCTTAAACCTTTCTTGAGAATCCACAATAAAAATACTTCTAGAAACAAGGAAATGATTTTACATTCATTGATATTATATTTATGAAAAAATTCTGTTGCAAAATGATGTGTTTGTTTTAGTGCAGATTATACTTTATTTGCAATACTGATTATGTCTTACTATTAATAAATAATGTAAAAAGACATTTATAAATTAACTTTAAGGCCTGGTCTGGTACAGAGACATTTTTCTTAAATCTATATGGCATTTCCCCCCTTGAATTGGACACCTTTGAATATGTCAGTATTTGTCTTGAATGTTTTTATACTCCTTTTCAACCAACAGACTCCCAAAACAGTTTAAATAAAATAAGCCAATTAACACAATCCTACAAGTGCTTCATTTAAATTAATGCTTTACTAAGTTCCTCCCAGATAAATGCATAAAGAATGCATTCTTAAAAAAAGAAAAGAAAACTGGACTTCAAATGCCATTAGAAGCATAAATCAAGTGATAGAAAAAATCAAGCTGGATCTGAACTAGTAAAAATCATGCTGGTTGATTATTATCATAAATGTTCTAATAAATACAGTTTTCTATAAACAAAATCGGAAGGCACCACTACCAATGGCTGGCATTTAATGGTCAGCCATTCTTATTCTATAAATTGTTGATTTAATCTAATATGGACTCTTTATCCTTGAGACATGTGTGGGTTTCTTGTTTAAAAGTTTGGAATTATACTTAATAAACAAAATACTACAAAGAGCAATGTTGGATTAAATTAATCTTTATAAGCTAGCAGCCTGTTTTCAAAATAATGTGGGGCTAGAAAGACATGAGTATAAGTATGCACTATACACTATATTATCCAAAAAGGTCTCTAACATTACAGTTAACATATACTAATGCTAACAAGAAGCTACTGATAGCCTTATCTTCCCTGATTTATTTTACTCTATACTCGTAGATGTGATTTCATCTTTCACAGATAACATATTGCAAAGTTTAACAATGTATGCAAGTGAGGAAATAGTTTTAACTACATTCACAGAAAGATGCAATTCTATTTTGGTTCTTCGCTACCCAAGATTTATTCCAAGATCTTGAACCAGGTTACATTTCATAAAGACCTTACAAAATCATACTGAGTTAATACATAACCAAATATCATTCTTTTTTTTTAATTCACTCTTTGGTAGTTTAAAGCAAGTCCATTCAAACCTTCAAGCTTTTTGTCATATTTTCTTTAACAAGGTATTTAACTTACTATTCTAACATCAAATGAGCATTTTGACTGAAGAAGCAAACAGGTAACCTTCTGACCTTTTCAGTAATTATCCCCCCTTTACTTTTCCCCTTCCTACAATCTATTTTAGGATAAAAAGCTATTTTTGCTTAAATTTTAAAACCATTTTTTCTTGAAGGTCATGATTAAGTTCCCTATATGTATTTTAAGAGTATTTCTTTACGTACAGTAACTGCTTCTAGGAGCATTGTAAAATTGTCAGTTAATCAGTTCTTTTTGTCCTTTAGACTATGCAAATTTATCACATCAGGCCATTCAGCAGCTCATGGGAAACCAAACTATAAGAGGCATTGTCTTTTAGCGCCTCCTCTAACTTGGAATGGTTTTAATAAAGAGGCTAATCAAGTTCCTTATGTATTATTTATTGGTTAAAATTTGTTCTGTTTATCTAAAATCTGTCCAATGAGATGACAGAACAGCAAATTATTCACTATTGAAAAATCAATTGTTCTCTGTTAGGGGAATTTATGCATATTGGCAAAAAGTTTCCACTATCTGGAAAACCATTGGTTTCTGGGGGGGTTTCATACCGAAGTATAGCAATAAACTGGATTCAATAAATCCACCTGTACTGTTCTAAATTAAGTGAAAAAAGGGAAGGTGGCTATGAAGATTATCATGAACCCTTAA